AATGAAAATCTACTGTTGCGATCCAAAAGCGGAATTTCAAACTTCAAAGCTACCATCCCTGAACAATCGACCTTGTTCAAACCTTACTTTAATAATTAATTTGGACCTCCCAAGAAACCGCTAAAAAACCTGATTCTGATACCACTTGTTGAAAACAAATTCGATATAAGAACGCTCTGATACCATTTGTTGGGAACCAACCCGATATCAAGAACACTCCGATACCAATTGTTGGAAAAACCGCCAAATAATTAAAGAAGAAGAGTATAAGCAATATGAAGTTTTAATGGATCACACAATAACCAAGAATATTGTGGAAGAGGAGAATTTTATTATACCAAGAAACACCAACAATTGTCTTACAAGATTTGATCCTCTCAAACTAATCTAAACAATTCTCTCTTGTTTCTAATGTATAAAATCAAATATCTAAATTTGTTATGAACTCTCTATTTGCCTTTGCATTGCCTTAATTGCCTTACCAAGTGCCTATACTTTGTGGAGTATTTATAGAAGTCAAACCACGAAGTCATGGATGAGATAGGAGTCCAAAATCGCGTCGAAACCAAAACCGAGTAAAATTCATCCGCGCTGCCTAGGCGTTACCGCCCAGCGCCTAGGCGCCAAAACCTGGCGCTTGGGCGTTAGGTTGCTGTCTTCTTTTTTCCCGTTTTCTTCTCTTCGCGTTTTCTTTCCTTTTTGCTTCTGGCTCCATCCTAGTGTTTCCAAAACACCTCTTTCATCCCTCCAAGAAGTCCTTAACTCAATCAAACTCCCACCAAACTCCCAAAACATGATGATATTTGATTCCTAATCAAACCGAACTTCTAAACCAAAATTAATCAAGCTTCCTTCATGCAACGAACTCCTAAATCACATAGAATTTTTGTCACAAATCCTAACAGATGGCTGGATGATACATATAATTTTGGAAAACGAAAAATGGCCTTGTTCATTCTCTCTCAAACATGGTCCTTTCAAGCAATTTCCTCTTCAAAAGATATAATATGTCCTATTCAGGATGGATTTCATACATAAACATTTGATCAAACAAATAAAAATAAACAGTATTTTTACATAAATAACATCATTTAAATAGAAATTTTACAACAATTGGGCAATTCTGTCTCCTTCTGCATGGTGTTTCTTTTCCTAGACTTTTGGATCCAAAACATGCTTTCTTTCAATCATGAGCACTGGAACCAAAAAGAAGAATGGAATTAGATGCTACTCTCACATGCAGCCCACAAAATCAAACAGAAATTCACAAATATTCTCATATCCTGTGCAAATCAATCCTGCTTGGGTTCTAACCTTGAAGGTGGATAGGCGCCACTATAGTCGAAGAGACTTTCATTAGTATAAGGATTCTCAGACCCTTTCTTTTCCCCTTCATAACTTGCTGAAGTTGAAGCAGATTCAGCATTAGGATTCAGACCAGCCAATTCCATGATGTTCTCTATCCCTTTTGCCACCTCGCTCATTGTTGGCCTATCGACCCCTGATTCTTCAACACACTTCAAAGCCAGATCAACAAACTTTTCTAAGCTTCTTGCTGCCATACTTGAAGCTATTATCGGATCAAGAATTTGCTGAAGGTTATACATCTCCTTTGTCTTATCCATTGCTAGCTTCACTTCCCGAACTATGTACTTCCCTTTCTCAATTGGACTTCTTGCAGTTAAAAGTTCATGCAGCAATACTCCAAAGCCGTACACATCACTTTTTTCAGTCAATTGCTGCGTCATGTAATATTCAGGATCCAAATAGCCCTAAAACCCAAAACAATCCACTTGTCAGTGTAAACATTGTGAAGTCAAAAAAAAAAAAAAAGGGAGGAAGAAAGATAACTTCTAAAATAAAATAACAGATCTTCAATGAAGATGAAACCTTTCCAAATTTTGGCAACTTCAGAAGATTCTAAGATTATAGTAATTGCAAGCTTTCTTTTCCAGAGCATCTCACAATCTGGTGAGTTAGTAGCTTTTTATCTTAATTATAGATGCCACAAGAAATGAAAGATCATTATCTGCAAGTCTCCTTTTGTTTCTGGGTAGATAATCAAATTACAAACATGCTAGATGTATGCTCCAAGTTTACATTATCCTTGACATTTGATGTGTTGTTAAAAAAGGATTGGAGGGAAAATTGTTTAATTTTTAAAACTATCCAATGGGGTGTTGCCACGTGGCAGGGTGTAAAGAATGATGTAAAGGATGGTGTACGTGTAGCGTGATTGATCAAATTATTAAGGATGTTTTCATTGTCATGTGCAAGAGCTTTTGTGTGTGCATGTGTGTTCATGCACATATCACGGTTTTAATTGAGCTAGGTGTTTAAGTTAAAGAGGAAGACATCCCAAAATAATCTTTAAATTCAAACATAAAGAAATTTAACTAGACCTCTTTGATACGGATCAAGCACTATACATCTTTTTAATTTTAATTAGGGGTAAGGCTATTCTTTTATCATTTTAGCAGTAGCCGGAAAAAGTACACAGAGCCCATGCCAAACCTACATAAAGGATGGTTGATTACCCCTGAAAAATAAACTAGATATTTTACATTGTGTTGTGGGTAATTATCGCAAAACATCCCTACCTTTGCCTGTCTTTGTGGAAAACGTCACGACCTTTGGTTTCTTAGCGCAGAACGTCCCTACCTTTCACTTTTTTTGCGCAAAACGTCATTTTCCCTAATTTTTAACGTAAAATGACCAATATACCCTCTAATTTAAATAAAACAAAAAGGAAGAAAAAAAGAAAATAAAAAAGAAATTACAATTTTACTCCTAAACTTTTTTAAAACGATAAATCAGTCCAAAACTTATGAAAATATTAAAAATAACGTAAACACGTCCAAGTCCAAGTCCAAATCCAAATTGAAATTGAAATTCAAATGGAAAGGGGAAGAAGGAAGGGACCAGAATCATCGAGAAGGTACTGAACAAAGGACTCCGGGAGCTCATGAATCTGGGTTTTTATTGATACAGATTCGAATTTTGGATACCATTCCTGAATCCGACATCTATTTATTTCTTCTTCCTTCATTTTAAGAACCAAAAGTTTGCCGCTTCTCTGTAACAATAGGAGAGACCTTCCTTAACAAAACTGATCATTTCCACCTTCCAACACAAGTAATTATGCAATCAGTCCTTTATTCAGTACCTTTTCCCTAATTTTTCTAATTTAAAATTAACTTTAGCCTAGAGTTCCTCACCACTCCACATTCTGAGCAAAAACAGAAATGGGTTCCTCACATTTCCTCTTCTTTTTCCTTCTACTTCTCACATTTTCCTCTCCAAAACCCATATCTGCAAACCCTGAACTGACAGCTTTAATGGACTTGAAATCAAGTTTTGACCCGAAAAATTTATATTTGAATTCATGGGTTGTTTAGGGTGATCCGTGTGACGGGTCCTTTGAGGGGGTTGCTTGTAATGAGAAAGGTCAGGAGGCTAATATTTCTTTGTAGGGAAAAGGCCTCGCCGGGAAATTATCGCCGGCGGTTGGTGGGCTTCAGGGGCGGATCAGGATTGGATCTAAGACTGGGCTACAAAATTTCAAACTGGACTAATACGCGAAAAAAGAAATTTTTACACATGAAAAACTGTTTTTTTTTTTTTTTTTAAAATGAAAATACCTTATAAAAAAAAAATTTGGGCCATGAGGGGGGGGGCTACAGCCCAGCCCAGCCCCCCCTGGATCCGCCTCCGGTGGGCTTGAACACTTGACGGGTTTGTACTTGCATTACAACTCTCTGTATGGGGAGATTCCTAGAGATATTTCGAATTTGGATGTGATTTTGTTATTTTTAATATTTTTATAAGTTTTGGACTGATTTGCTTTTTCAAAAAAGGTTTAGGAGTAAGATTGTAATTTGTTTTTTATTTTTCTTTTTTCTTCCTTTTTGTTTTATTTAAATTGGAGGGTATATTGGTCATTTAACGTTAAGAATTAGGGAAAAGGACGTTTTGAGCTAAAAAAGTGAAAGGTAAGGACGTTCTGCGTCAAGAAACGAAAGGTAGGGACGTTTTCCACAAAGACAGGCAAATGTAGGAACGTTTTGCGCCAATAACCCTTTTGTTGTATTCAATAATTTTCTTTTATTTCAATTTCTTCTCAGTTGTTCTATACCTTGCAATTACATGTATTTATCATTGTTGAATACGACCAGGCTCTAACTCCAACATGAAAAGACGTCCTAGTGTTCAATATATATACAGAAAATAATTTAAGAAGCAACAACACTTCATATATAGCAAACCAACCTTTGAGATCTTGAGATGGGCGAAGTATTTACTCACCATTGTGCCTTTTACTTGAGTGGTAACGTGACCCCTTTCAGGTTCTCCCATAAGCTTAGAAAGACCGAAATCTGCGACTTTTGCATTCAGGCGTTCATCCAACAAGATATTAGTTGATTTGACATCCCTATGTATGACGGGAGGGTCAGCAAGGTCATGCAAATATTGCAACCCTCTTGCTGCACCAAGGGCTATTCGAAGTCTCCTCATCCAATCTAACCTAATTCCTGATCTCCCTGAAAACAGAATGCTTGTATATAACCCTCTCTAGGGAAGTGGTTTAGTCACAATCACTTTCAAAGAGTAAGCTTGAGGAACAAGCCTTTCTTGCTTTTCAGTATGTAGTTGTATGTTTACCGTTCAGTTTTAGGACATCATACGTTTATGACCTATTAGAAGAAAGATGCTCTGGTGGGAGAAGATGGTAGTACCTGAAAGACTATCCTTCAATGTGCCATTTGCAATATATTCATAGACCAACATTTGTTCACCTTGCTCGAAACAAAAACCAACAAGGCTGACAACATTCTTGTGATGAACCCTTGATAGCAGCTCGATCTCGGTTTTAAACTCAAGACCGCCTTGCCTAGATCCTTGCCGAGCCCTTTTAACAGCAACCAGTTGTCCGTTGGAAAGAGTTCCTCTATATACCTGTCAAATGCGTAACAATAGAAACGATGAAGATTAAGTAATTTAAGAGTAATATTAAGATGGTTGAGAAGCAAAGAGTGAGGGCTTGATCAGTTAAGATGACATGAGACTATTATTTCCAAGTTATTTGTAATTAAAATATATTTCCATGGCCGTATTTGTGACTTTTAGATATTTACGGGGCTTGGTCACTAAAGATGTTGAAATCCTGCAGTTTTCGAACAGCGTCAAGTTCTCTAACCTGTATGGGATTTTGAAATCCCCAAATTTTCAATGGGCATCGGGGTGTAACAATTTACGGGGATAGTTGATCCCCTCAAGATATAATAAGATTCTACACCTGCCTTAATACCAACATCTATTCACGGTAAAGTACTGTTTGAGGTTTGGCATGGATAGAGTAAGACGGAGAATAAGACAATCTTAAGATAGGAGGACCATTAATTAAGGCAAGCCCACATGTACCAAATGAAAAATGGTCCAAAAACAATATCATTTTAAGGAAGGATATAATAAAAGTGAACCTTTCCATAGCCACCACTTCCAACATCATTGACTTCCGAAAAGTTATTTGTGTATTTCTTAAGTTCTTCAAATGAGAAACATCTAGCTCCTTTTAACTGAGGAACTCCACCGCTGTTTGTTTTTGGATCCCAGGATCCTGCAAGCAAGAAGAAGATGGTCAAAACTGCCAGGAAGCATAAAATTAACAGAAATTAGAACACATTAACGCTTAATTTTACCAAAAGGGTCATTCTTTTTGGCAGCTACTTCAGCTCTTCTCTTCTGGCGGAAAGCATAAATCCCTGCAGTGAGTAACAATAGAAATAGGACAGATCCACCAGCAGCTGCTCCAATGATAATCCCACTGCTTGATGACTTGCTTGAACCAGTGGCCAAATCTAGAAGAAAACATGCAAAAGCACATTTATATACATAAATATAACCGTGATTAGAAATGGCATATATGTTGTCACCAAGTTTCTAAATTGGCATCATTAACCAAGTTACCTAAGTACCCATAGTTTTCTCCAATGAAAAAATAAGGCTTGAATGTTTGGTTGCTTAGCACAAATCCAATTCCAGATATTCCAGTTCGATTGAAATAATTTTGGCCAGATGGAAAAACTTGTAGATTCAGTACGGGATAATCATCTAAATCATTTGTAGGATTACTCAGGGAGACAGAATCAACAGGGAGATTATTAAACTTGAATGTGAGGATCAGTTCTTTCTGCAGGGATGCGAAAAAACTCTTGTCTCTCAAGTTGGAGAAGAAAGGTGTTCTGAAGATTATGATGCCAGTATATGGATGTGCACATTTGCATGTTGGGCTAGAAATTTGATCTGGACTACAGGAAGAAGGCGTGCAATTTTCTGGGGGTGTAGAATATGAGTCATTAGTTGGCTGGGGTATGCTGCAGTATGTTTCTGTTTCTGTTTCTGTTCCTCCTTCAACACATATTGGATTACCTGCAAGTCTGCATATTAAACCACACTAGTAAAATATTGAAACAAACTTAACTAAGAAAGACTAATATGTAGAAACTTTTCATTTCCAACATGGATTAGAAGGCAAAATAGCCTGCAGAATGAAGAGCAACTTACATGATTTGAACATTTTGACCAGCTCGTTCCGTAGAGGGCCTAAAGTGATCGATGGTGTTGTTTCTTAAATCAATGAGTTGGAGTCGGTTGCTATAACTAGAGCCAATAGTCAAGGTTCCATTGATCTTGTTGTTCCTCAATACCCTGTCATTCCAAAATAAGAGAAACGATGTCAAATGTTCATTCCCATTTCTTTAAAATTGAAAATAGTAGAAACTGAACCAGATTTGAATTATCTGTTAAATGAAAGACGTTTAGTGTGAAACTAAGTGTTCACTCACACTTTCTGCAACTGAATTAAGCTGAACAGAGAAACTGGAAGTGGTCCTTGTATTCGTGTATCTTCCATTATTCTGCAAGTTCAGTGTTGTGATATAAGGTTCATGGTTAACTTTCAGAAAATCTCTCCATAATCCAGCAAAAGTGAAATGTTTGCACACTCGTGCATACAAGAGTGAAGAACAAACACACAGTCATGGGGGGGGGAGAGAGAGAGAGAGAGAGAGACGTACAGTGAAGTTAACTTCTCCAAAGTCAAAAACCATGCTGGAACATATGATGCAGCAAATGAATTATTGCTCAAATCCCTGAAAATTTTAAGTAAAATAATCGAAGAGTAAATCATTACATCTGGACAAGGTTCTTAGAATGCGTTCTCACTACAACTGACAATGGTGAAGAACACATTATCCGGCAATATCACATTTACCAATGTACAAGCATTATTCATTTTCTAAACTGTGAGTAAAGTTTTAGACTTACACATAGTAGAGCAAATTCATGCCAGTAAGATTGGGCAAGGGGCCAGTCAACTTATTGTTTGCCAAGTACCTGGTAAGTTTAATCATATGACCTTCTCACTATCACACAATTCAAGGCCGACATAATTGTCCGCAAACAAAATTAGAGAGAAATTAGTCAAACTCATTCCTTTATATCTACTTACAGCTCCAGTACAGAAGTGAGATTGTTGAGGTTTGGGGGTACGGATCCATTTAAAGAATTCTTGTCTAGGCGTCTGTTGCAAGCAAAGAACATATAGATCAAACTTTAGAAGGAAATTACAGCCAGAGAGATTTTGCTGGTTGAGTAAATGAGGTGATGCTACTTACACAATCTCCAGGGTCTGGACGAGTCCTAGCGTGGAAGGGATGTTTCCAGTTAGCAAGTTGTTTTCGAGAAGCCTACTCACATAAACATAAATTAGGAGGCATAATGGATGCCTAGATGTTGTACAATTTTTGCTTTGCCAGGTGTACACAAATCTTTACACCCCCCTCACATTGAGGGAAGCCCACAAATATTTTATTGTGTGTAGACCCCTCCATGTGAAAGGGGTGTAAAGCTTTGTGTACATTATTATGTACACACAACACTTCCCTTAAATAATACAGCAGTGGTGCTTACAGATGTTTAAGAGTCATATCTGAATTAAAAAGCTGCGATGGTATTTCCCCAGATAACTGATTTTTACGAAAATGACTGCAGAAAGTCAACCATATCTATATTAATACATTATGAAACAATTGAATATAAAAGTCACACCACCTAATTTGAAGTTTGGGGACACGATCAAACTTGCAAAAAAGTTGAGAGAAATTTTACAATCGAAAATTTACGTACAAAAAAAAATCATACCTCATATAATTTTGCATCCGAAAATTTACCTGGGATATGACTTTTTCGAGTGTAAAATTTCGAAATGTTTTGATGTCATATTCCATAAAATGATGAAAATTATATTGAGAAATTTGTATCGTAAAAAAAATAAATGTTAATGAAATAATTGAGTTTTTTTTTTAAAAAATGCGAGTTAGATGTCTTTCTTTAAGACTCACGTTTAACGTATCTTTAACTATTTTCGATATCTGTTTGGACTATTCGATATGTCCATAATGTAGTTCTCGAAATAAATTTTGAGATAATATAAGCAATTTGTAGATTCTATTAGTGTACAATCGTTGGAGAATTTTTAAAATTAGCATGTTATCGAAATTCAAATTTATTGTGATTTTGCTCATGTTTAGTGGAGATTAAAATTAAATTTTTAGTAAATTTTGATAAAAATTAAACAGTTATGAATTTCATGAAATATGTTATTAAAATTAATTGTTAAGTTTGGTTAAGATTAAAATTTAGATTTCAATCAATACCAAACATGACTATATATATTTAAAAAAATTCTCAAAAGTTGGGGTCCGCCAATGCCTAGTTGAGGTAAATGTAAAAAGAGAACATACATACAAGTGTTTTGTGTGAACAAGCTTATCAAGACCAGTTGTCGTTCCCTCAGAGACCGGGATAGTTCCACTAAGCTTATTATCCGCCAAATCCAGCCAAAAAAGTTTTGATAGAAGACCAATGGAAGGTGGTATACTACCGCTAAATCTGTTTGAATTTAGAGATCTGCATAAAAAGGAAGAAGAGCTTTAGCTAAGTACCCAGGAAGGGGAAAAGCATTGTTCTGGTTATGTAAAACCTAGGAGACTGAAAACATGTGGCATGTTTGGTAAGGTGGATCAGGTCAAAACAAAATAAGTAAAAGAAGTTAAAATTTTGCTTATTGTACAGTCCCTTACCATCTAGTATTGCTTACCAAATATGCACTTAATATCTTTCATACCAGTTTTTTCTTTCTTTGTTTATCGATTATCCTTAGACAGAAGCTCCTAGAGTATTCAATTTAGAAGAGTCTGACTGATTGCCACAGAACCTATTTGGAAGGTCCCAAATTATATGGACATAAAGACATATAATCCTTACAGAAAAACCAGCTCTTGTAGAGATCCTATTGAGGATGGTATAGGGCCAGAAAACCCACACCCAACAAGGAATCTGCAATGTATGTAGAAGTAAGTCTTATAACCAGTCGGCAAATACAATAATATAAAAACACCCATATTAATTTCCTTACAAGTTTGATAGTTTCGTCATATTTCCAATAGTTGTAGGCAGAGACCCTGTTAAATCTTTGTTATACGATAGGTCCCTACACACAAACAAACAAATATCAAAAGATGCACAAACTTGCACGTACATGGAATACTCATAGAAATCACACAGGAATTTGAATTGGAGGAAAGTGATTCAATCAAGTGAGGAGGAAAAACACAAATTGAGGGACAAGATTCACAAATTTCTGTACTTAAAAAGGAATTTTTCTAAGTATTAAACGTAGGAAGTAGGAACTATAACAATAAAGTGATTGAGCAACGTGTTGAGACATACGTGTAGACCAAAAGGGAATTTGAAATTGCATTAGGACACCTATGCAGTGTTCCCATGTACTATTCTCTAAGGATCCGTTTGATTGATTGTAAAGGTGAAAAATGAGTAGAAAGAAAATGAATTCTAGGAAATTGAATTGTTTAGAAATTGTTATACTGAGAATTTTAATTAATTGTATTTGATTGATATAATTTTCCACCTGAAAAATATCGAAAGTTTGGTGTTCGTTTGACTTTGTTTTTTATGGAAATTGTGCATTAAAGTGATAATTTCTTTTACCATTGAGTTTAAAATTTGTTTCACTTGCCAAAAAAAATTAAATTTTTTTTTTAAAAAAATTATCATACCGAGTATTATTCGTTTGACTTTGTTTTGTATGGAAATTTTCAATAAAAATGATAAATTTTTTTACCATTGGATCTAGAATTTTTTCCAATTACAAAAAAAAAAAAAAAAATTGGAAAATGAAAACTCACCTAAAAGGTGGGAAAACAATTTCAACCAAATCAATGAAAATGTGCACATGTGAGAAAGCGAGACAATCAAACAGGTGAAAAGTAGGAAAATGGAATGATATCAAACAGGGTTTAAGTGATACATTAGGAGACATGAAGTGACAAGAATAAACATTAGAAACCAGGTTCAGACCACTTGCCTGAACAGCACAAGGTACCATCCAAGATCCAACTGGGCTTTATTCATATTGATAATTGTGGCAACAAATATAGATATCAAATAATCAGATTTTATTCGAGTCGCCTTGGTGACATTTTTTTCAGAATCATTAGAAAAATGGTTGCTGGATTTTAAGTAGAATTCTTGTCCTAGAGGTATATGTTATAGAAAATTAGAATATAATATGATAGTAAGAAATAAAAACTGAAAAGAGTCAAGGTACTTAATTGTTCAAAAGGTAGGGATGGCAACGGGGAGGGTATTAGGGATGGCAACGGGGCGGGTATAGGACGGGTCGACCATTCCCACCCCGTCCCGTCGGGTATTTTTGTTACCTTACCCCACCCCCATAACCAGTTCAAGCGGGACGGATCGGGGTGGGGTGGGGCAAGCCCCATGTCCCATTTTTTTTTCTTTTTATCATTTATTTATTTATTTTTTTTGCTTTTTTTTTATGTCTTTAGCTAGTAAATATTATTACTTTTTTACCAATTTGTTAAAAATAACTTACGTTCCCTTTAAAAATGATGATAAATATATTATTTTTGTTTGATAAAAAACTTAAAATTGAAATTAACTTTAAACGGGGCGGGTATTGGGGCGGAGACTATGTTTCCCGTACCCGTCCCGTACCCGCTTCGGGGCAATAACCCTCGTCCCCTCCCCTCCCCTTTTACTCGGTTTGGCGGGTAATCCCCGTCCCCTTCGGGGCGGGGTCCCACGGCTATCGAGTTGAACGAGTTTTTTTGCCATTCCTAGAGGGTATGATACGGGTTGGCCATTCCTACCCCCGTCTCGTCAGGTATTTTTGTTATCTTACCCCATTCCCATACCCGGTTAAAGCGGGACGGGGCGAGTTCGGGGGTGGGGCGGGTCCCCTGCCCCATTTATCGCCCCATTTATTTTTTATTTTTATTTATTTTATTTTTCGCTTTTATTTTTTATGTATTTAGTTAGTAAATATTATTACTTTTTTATTAATTTGTTAAAAACAACTTATATTCTCTTTAATAATAATAATGATAAATCTATTATTTTTGTTTGATGAAAAACTTAAATTTGAAATTAATTTTAAACGGAGCGGGGCAGGGACTATGTTTCCCGTACTCGCTCCATACCCGCTTCGGGGTAATGACTCTTGTCCCATTTGGGACGGGGCCCCACGGATATCGAGTTGAATGAGTTATTTTGTCATTCCTATCTAAATAAAGGGAAAAATTAAGATGATTAAAGTGATCTCGTAAACAGGAAAAAATAGACAAATAGAAATAGAAAACCAACAAGGTCTCCAATTCAGATAGTTCTTGGATGTCCGAGGATAGCTGACCGGTCAAATTGATGCTCAATAATTTGCTGAAATAGGAAAAGAATGGATTAAACTCAGAAATGCACAAAAAGCACAATAGCAACGAAGAATGGGGTAGGACTTACATGGAAACAACACGTGAGTTGATGCACTCAATTCCATCCCACCCATTTCCACATGGATCAGCCCCTTCCCAGTTGGGTGGCACATTCTCCCATAATTTCTTGAGAGACTGTAGAGCATCAACTGCATCACAGATAAAAGCAATTTCTTCTGTTTATAGGAGATGGAATTCTCAACCATTAACTCCACTGTTTTGGGTGCTCAAAGGAATGAAAATATATGTGGACTATAAACCCCCCAACTCTTTATTTAGGGTAAGTAATAATAGATAATTCAAAATCCAGCCGAAGCAAGAACACATCTTATGAATTCAAGTACTGGATCTAAACATTTTAAGAGAAGTGATATGCAATATTTACTTTTTTTTTTTTCCTAATATAGAAACAGGACAATGCAGAATGTGATTATCAATTCACCCGTAGACTCCTATCAACATAAACAAACAACGCAAAATAGCCTATCTATTCTTACGAAGGTACAACACCCCCATTCTATCTAAACGAATCAGCCCTCGACAAAAAAATGGCAGTTCCATACATGATAAGAACCGTTTAGTATTTCCCATCGCACCGAACTTCGCCAACTCGTTGCAATATTTACTTGAATATCATCTTCAAATAAATAAGAATACATGGGAAAAGAAGTAGGCTTGGAAAAAACTGCTCACTGCATCAGAAAATGATAAAATGTCATGAACTGCAAGCCAACCATTGTGACTTCAAGCATCAAATGCCAAGTGGTTTACCCCTATACCAAAACCACTGCTACAGAACATAGCGAAGAGAGAACATGAAATATAAATTTGGTTTTTTGCATATTTTGTCAAGAATAAAGCTACAAATTTCAGCCTAATTTACCATTTAATGTTGAAGGGGTAAAGCTCACTTTTACGACATGGATTAAGAACAAATATGTACTTGACTCCTGTTATCTAAATCTTGTCTATTCCTTCTCTCTTGGTAAAGGGAGAATTAACATGGAAGAAGAACAAACTAGACTTAGTTCTCATCAGATTCGATTGTGTGGTTCAGATAAAACTTCTTATAATTATTAGATATCCTTAAAAAAATTAACACAAATAATGATGAAATGCTATTTGAACCAAGAATCAAGAATACTTACAATCTTGTTGATCTGTCAATGCTGCTATAACCAAAGATTGTATTAAAGCAACCAGAAGAGGGAACAGAATTCTCAAAACCATCATTGCTCAACAACAACAACAATATAGATTATCAAACAAACAGAAAGTCTGACCAAAATCTACAAAAACATAAACTTCCCAGCTCTCAGCAAATTGTTCGTTCTCCAGAGGAACTTTCAAAATTATACCTATATAGAGGAACTTTTCAACCGGCTCGGCTCGTGGCTAGTTAAAAAAAATAAAAATAAAAATAAAACAAAATTTAGTGACCAGAACGGTCACTGAATTAGCCAGCTCGTGGCTCGTTAAAAAAATAAAATAAAATAAAACAAAATTCAGTGATCAGAACGGTTAGTGAATTAAATTCAGTGACCGTTTGGTCCTTCAATTTTTTTTTTTTTTAATTTCATTTTTCTTCCCCTATAAATACACATCCACTACAACATTTTTTCCCACCAAACTTATTGTCAATCTCTCATTCTCTAATCTCTACTCTACTATACTCTCTACAATTTACAAATTATTATCAATACTATTCTATAATCATCTTCTACATTTTGTTTTTACATTATTATCTTGATTTTACAATTCATAATTTATTTACACTACTACATAATTTTCATTCACTTCTCAATTCTACATTTCTACTTCAAGTCTTCAACATTCAATTTCAATTATTCACAAAGGGATCAACGATCGTTTGTTGAAAATTTGTTCGGTGTCGGAGGCGAAGCACCTGACCAAAGTCAATATGGGAATGAATTCGCCGGTCTCAATGAATTACTCATTCCATAAAATATTCAAGATTTCAACGTTCATGAAGGTAGTCATCCAATTGATTTGGATGACGTTGATGTTGATGCTAGTTATCCAATTAATTTGGAAGCCGATGAAGAAACTGCATTAGAAATTCCCGATGCAAGAGGGAAGAGAAAGGGGAAGAAGCAGGCAAACTGTTGAGACCATTTTAAATTGGTTCAAACTGGTCGTGTTGTCGATGGACTTCCAACGCAATGCCCAAAATATATTTAATGCTATTATGAACATTATTAGAGAATATAAATGCAAAAGTAAAATTCGTTCTTTTACGTTCGATAACGCTAGTGTAAATAATGTTGTTATCGATAAATTGCATAGAGTACTTCAACCCAATTTCGGTGGTTATTTGTTTCATATTCGATGTGTATGCCATATTTTTAATTTAATAGTATAAGACGATTTAAAACATGTTAATGATGAAATTAGCCGAATTAGGAATGTATTTGTATATATCACGATTACACTTAATAAAAAATAAGCATTTGAGGAATTTCTTGCAGAAGCTGGGATGCCGCATACAAAAACCTTTATTAGTGATGTAGGCCATAGATAAAACTTAACTTACTTATTATTAAAATTATGTGAAAGTTTTGAACATTTAATTACAGAATTTTATAACAATAGGCATATTAGAGATGAAGACGATACTATCTTGAATGAATCCGATTGAAATATAGTTTTTTAAATTAAATTTTTTTGACAAGTTTTTATGAATTTACAAATATTTTGTCTAGTGTTTATTATCACACTAGTTGTATGGGTCTTGAACGTCTTTATATAATTGTTAGGGCTTTTAATATATTTAAAAATGACCCCGATTTTGATTCGGTTATATATTCCATGGAATTAAAATTTAGAAAATATTGGAAAGAATCACCTATATTATTTCTTTTAGCATGCGTCATGGACCATCTATATAATTTATCGGATACTAAATTTGTAATTGATCAAATTTCAAATGTTTTAACTTTTAATGTACCTATTACTTATACAAATTTGGAACAAACTTTAAGTGAAATGTATGAATTATATGCTTCAAGAATGGGTACACATATTACTCGTGTACCTACAACCACTCATCCCACTAATATAGCAGATGACGACGCTGAAGTTTTAAATTTATTCAAAAACATGAACTCATATAGATATAATTGCATATGCATGTGGTTCCTCTAGTCGTAGTAGTAGTTTGTCTTCCACTGCATGTACTTAAACTTCGAGTAATAGTCTAAATGCGTTGTCATCTGAATTAATTGATTACTTTCGTTATACTATGCCTAGTACCAAATCAGTTAAGAAAAGTTCAGAAGATGTAATCGAATTCTGGCGAAATAATACCGTAGTCAAACTCCAAATGCGTTGCCATATGAATTAATCGATTACTTTAGTCAACCTTTGCCTACTAACAAAACAACTAGTAAAAGTTCAGAAATGTCCTTGAATTCTGGCGAAATAACGAACGCCGATGGCCAGTAGTTTCTGCAATTGCAAAAGATATAGTAACACTTTCGATTAGCATTATAGATTTAGAGTCTGCTTTTAGTGTAAGGAAGATGGTTCTCTATGAGGTTAGGAGTCGACTAAAAGAAGATATTTTGGAAATATTAATGTGCGTGAAGGATTGGGAAGACGCTCATTATCGAATTCAAGATAAATATGTCGAAATTGCATGTAATCAAGTAAGTGATATTTAATTTAACCATATTCATCACAATTTTTTATTTTAATACATTTATAATTTTTTAAAAAAATTGTACACATAACAAGTTGTTTGTGTACAATTTTTAAATCCGTCTACTTGAAATTGAAGTAACCGATCCCAAGCCCGGATAAAGGAGGAGGGTTTATCTTTTTTTTTTTATTATTATTTTAAAAAAGAAAAATGTTTTGAAAAATGTATATTTAATAAAGGAGGAGGGTTTGTTTATCTTTTTTTTTATATTATAAAAAAGAAAAATGTTTTGAAAAATGTATATTTAAAAAAAGTTTAGAAAAATGTGTGTGTGTGTGTATATATATTAAGTTTGTATAGTATAAAAGGGTAAACAAAAAAAAAAAATTTGTTCTTATTATTTTAAAAATTATAAATGTTTTGGAAAATGTATATTTAAAAAAAGTTTAGAAAATGCGTATAAATATTTTTTTTTTTAGGCTTGGTAGTAAAAAAAAAATGACGAGCCGACGAGCCGAGCGGCGACCCCTGAGCAACCTATACAAGTTGCTTGTGGATTAGATGAAGCCCTTTTAATCCCATAGAAGATATTTCAAGAAATCAATTTTTGTTGTCATTTTCAAACCCCAAGCATTCAAGGCAAAGCTGTTCCACAACCATAAGTACGTTATTATAAAAGTCATTACACTAATTGAAGATTTTGATAATCTTGGGTTTGAAAGAAACATGTGTTGCAAATTGCAAGAGTTGGTTAAAATGAGACAATCATTGACTTGAAATGTGTTCATACACAGCTCAATGCGTACCTAAACCCTAAATGGGTTCTTGAATATGTCAGTGCCTTGGCTTCTTGTTGCCCTCATTCGTATCGACTGACTACTTTTGTTTGAACTTAATTTTAAGCACATATTAATTTTACTCTTTAATAAGGGTTTTACTATTTGTACATTAAGGTATGTGTACACCCCGTCACAATAGGGAGAACCCAAAAAATCGTGAATCTTCCTATTATGAGGGGAACTGTGCACCGATGTGTCACACGTAGCAAAACCCCTCCAATAAAACCCAAAATTTTGCATTTAATATGGATTTTGTTAAAAAATCCACATCTATTTTTGCCGAAATTTTTTAGATTGTTTATAACCAATCGTGAGTTCTACTCAATTTAGTTGTTACAATTCATATCCGACTCAAGATCCTTGTTGTGGTTGTAATGATCTAGAGAGGGCGGCCTTCGTGCCCTTTTTTTTGTGATAAGAAACTTTCAATAAAAACAAAAGTTATTACAATTATCAATTCATACACCCGTTAGAAACATCATGCCATAACTAGAATGATTACTAAAAATATAATAATACGGCATTTGAATATATCAAAGAATAAAGTTTATTCATATACTTGAATTAAACTAGACTGTGTAAATTTAGATCAATAATATAAATATTAATTATTATACTATTCTATCAACTATGTACAAACATTTGAATTCGACTGATGTGTACATGATCCATATCCATATAATATTCCTTCCTAACTCAAAATTCATTACACACAAACTCAAAACTTTTTCTTATTTTTCAACCACACATTCTCCATTAATATACTCTTCTAAAATGCATTCTTAGCCCTTGTTTGGTAGAAATTAAAATCAGATTTTTAGTAGACTTTGATAAAAATTGATCAAATGTGTGGTTGAAAAGTTGTGGATCCCATAAAATGTGTAGTTAACATTAATTGCCGACTTTGACTTGAAATTTTAATACAAAACAAACAAGGGCTTGAGAAAAAATGGGGCTCAAACAAGTTCTTATTATCTACACATTTTGTAGGACCAACTACTTTTCCTCTTACCATTCTTAATTATAAACAATTTATAAATTGCCAAGCAGACATGCTACCATCTAATCAAAGTGACACAACGTTAATTTGGAAATTATTTTGATTTTTCGACCCTTAATTTTAAATGGATTCTAGTTGAGTTGTACACACATCTCCAAGTCAACCAAAATTTATTTTCAGTGCCATCAAATTTCGTTTGAAATCACTGTTGACTTTTTCTAATTTGACAGAATAATTCTACATGATATACAAGCAAGCAACGATTAAATATAAGGACGATCAACATAAAGCTGAATGCATAAACTATAGTTAAGTGACCCGATTGCAATTGAGCTAAAGTTAAGTAACACAATTATAAGTAAATTAAAGTTAAGTGATCTGATTACGATAAAGTGAAGTTCACTGACCTAATTGCAATTGAATTTGGTGACCATGGTACAACCTACTCGAAATTAAACTCTTGTATCTACACAATACCTCTTTTTGAGACTGATTCTTTGAAACTCATTTTTTTCTTAAACTCATTTTTAATAATACGTTTTATCCAATAAAATTTTGCATGTAAACTCAAAACTCCATATTTTTATCACATATATATATATTTTTTTTTTTTTAAAAAAAACACGTTTTACAAAATTTATTCTTACAAATGGCGCTCAATCAGGGACTAAATATCAATCGTGTTCTTAGTTTTGGCAAATAAAATAGAAAGAACAACTAAATAAATCCCTATAGATTGATAGTTGAACTATTTTTGTACATTATACTTAAAAAAATAAAAAAATGGTTAAAGTATTGTAACTTGTTCTACCACCTAATGTATCAGTTCTTCTTGGGTGTACAATTTGCTATGATCAATAAATGGATAACCCAAAATTGAAATGATTCACAGTTTCAATACAAATATATATAGCACTCTGGACCAAGATATTCATAATTCCCGATTAATTACTTCCCATACTGATGCTCTATGCAGAACGGGAAAGAGCCATAACTGACATCAAACACCTCAGTATCATAAGAATGGAGATGAGTCTCGTTGTTCTCTTCCTCGTAGATAGATCCAGAAATTTTTTGTTCTCTTCATTTTCTTGTTTTCGGGTGGCAATTCCAAGATGTTCTCAATTTCACTCACGACCTCTCCCATTGTAGGCCGGTCAGCAGCAGATTTTCCAACGCAGCTCATTGCAAGATCGACAAACCAACATGCGATCCTGATCCCATGGCTGGATCAAGAATTTTATCTAGATTTTCAGAACCTTCTGGATCGTTCAATGCCTTTTGAAGTGCTCTTACAATGTGGTTTCCATGCTTTATAGGGGCTTTAGCAGTTATCAGCTCCAGCAGTACAACTCCAAAATTATATACATCGTTTTTCTCATTAAGTTGTTGGGTCATGTAGTATTCAGGATCCATGTATCCTTTTATTGACAAAGACCAACTCTTAGCGACAAATAAAAAAGAGTTCAAGGCGCCAAAAAATTTAGCAATATTGAGAGAGACAGTTTCTAAATAAAAAAAATAAAAAGTTGTTTTGACTTCAATGCTCACCAGTGTCCCTTTGACTTGAGTGGTGACATAACCCTTGCCCGTATCACCCATGAGTTTCGATAGACCAAAATTAGCAACTTTTGCATTGAAATGATCGTCCATCAAGATGTTGTTTGATTTAATATCCCTGTGAATAATCTGAGGATTGCCAAGCTCATGCAAAATGACAGTCCTTTGACTGCATCAAGAGCTATTTTAAGTCTTCTACTCCAATCCAACTTGAATCTTATTTTCCCTGTAAACTGATAGGCTCTCATCCACTTCACTCATTCTAGAAGGGAATAGAAGAATTCACCTGCAAGTGGGGGGAGGGAAAACTGAATTCTATTAGAAAATAGATCTATAAATAAGGGCAGAAGTTAGGGGATAGGACATGCAAATATTGAGTATTGGCTTATCCAATTGGGAGACTACCAGCTTTTCGAATTGCTGGAATTTATCCTTCATTTTCATTGTAATTTCGTCATTAATTCAATATCAATTCTCAGTTGTTACTTTCATATAATCAGGTTCCTATCAATTGGTATCAGAGCGTCGATCTCGGGGCAATGGCAAGAGGTTATGGATTTGATTCAGTAGGAAGACTAGATATAGAAATATTCTATGATGGCGATCCAGACTGGTGGCTGGATAAAGCAGATGAAATTTTCGCAAGGAACCAATTGTCAGAGAGGGAAAAAGTGGAAGCAGCTACGACATGTTGGTTGGGTGAAGCTTGGGATTGGTTTCGAGAGGTCGATCGACAACGGACAATGCTAACTTGGAGAGAATTGAAAGGCCTGGTGATCGATAAATTTCGACCATCTCAGGAGGGACATCAGCTAGAGGTACAGGAAGATCTGAAATCAGAACTGGAGAAGGTGGTGTCTCACATGATGGAGAAGTTCGATTCCATGATAGAAAAAGTGCGACGAGCAGCTGTGGAAAAAGGTCCAGCAACAGCATTGCCTGACACTATCTTCAATTTTGAAAATGGGCCGGAATCAGAAGAAATTGGGGCGATTTCTGAAAGCCATAAACTGGACAGATTTGAAATTGTATCAGCACCATTACTGACGACTTTAGATGGAGTGCTGGAGGGGAATTTTACCAATTGTGAAACTCCAGCCAAGCTAGAGGAAGTTGGCGCATGTGACGGTGGCTCGAACCACCAAGTTAAACCAGGGAAAGCTGAGCTTGCAGGCCCAAAACTCTTCAAACCCGGAATAAGCGATGAAGAAGAGAAGAGGTCAGGACAATTCGCGAAGAGAATCCGGGTGAATAAGATGGAAACCACGATGAAGAAACAGGAAGGGACTAGGCTGCTTAAGGCTGACTTTAATTTAGAAAAACCTATGGGCTTTGATTTGAAGTTGGGCCAAAGAGTAGAAGATCAAAACAAATCCCTGAAGCAGGTCCATTGCCCAGATAAGAATGCATTAGTGAGAATGGCCCAAAAGAAGTAGGCCCATTTAAAATTTGGTCCATCTAGATCTAAAATTAATACATATAACCCAAGCCCAAAATTCCACAATCTCCCTGCCCACACACGTAACCCAGCTCACCAGGCACCACATCAATCAAACCCAATCAACACAATCACTTCTAAAATTTCCCCCAAATTGGAGGAAGCAGGAGTAATTAGCCATCTCCCGCACAGTCAGGAGGAGACGGACATGAAGGAAAAGGAGGTCTCAGTCACTTCATCGGAACCCATCATTAATTCTGAAATCCCACCAAAAATTGAAGAAATTGAAGTGACTAAAGACGGTCAGACTTACAGGGAGGAAGGAGAAAATGAGAAAAACAGTAGAAATATCAGGCGAGGTGGTCGAGGGCCCATTACCGCAGGACAGCCCGCCGGAAATCTTTGGTGCTCAACGCACCTTGAATCGGGGAAAATGGCCAGAGGTCCCAAGTGAGGCCAGTTACAGAAAAACCCCAGACACAGTGAAGGAAGGGGATGAATAGAAGCGTGAAGGGAAGAAGAACGTACCGGTAGCTACCCCGTCTAAAGCCACAGTCGATTCGAGAGCTCCAACCAATTATGAGAGAATTGGAGCTACTACAGCAATCGGAATAGCAAGGATTACCGGAGACGAGTCGACAGCCCGATCAAACCCTTACCTACGCTGCCAAGAGAGTTACTGGATAGCAATTGGATTAATAGGTTTAAACCCATGACATGGGCCGAGAACACACAGTTAAAGCCTCATGGTTTTTGTCATATTATGGAGTTGAAGCAAGCCCAAATAGCTGAAGATATAGAAGTATTTATGGATCAGGCCCAGACATATTACAGTATATACCGCTCAAAATGGATTCAAACATTGGGGATTCCTTATGGGGGTCCAACTGGTTATGGGATTTGTCAAGAAAATATTCTAAATAAAGTAAAGATATATGGCCCAACTACTTATTACATCCCTGAAGCCCGTCAGGTCATTCTAATTTCAAGCTTTAGTGATAAGAATCCACAGCAAGCAGGGAAAAGATTATACCATCGGTGGAAGGAGAAGAATACATTCCAGCGTCACAATGAAGATGAACCCAGTCTCTTCTCCATCGAAATAAGGGGCTGCCAAACCACTGAAGTCTCCTGGGAATCCGTAACAGCCCTTAAACATCAATTCTTGGTTTCAACCCTGATGACAAGGTTTATTTGGAAGAAATTCAGAAAGGTGTTGTAACACCCCGAAAATTTTATAATAAAATTTTTGTCATATATATTATATTTTATGATTTTAAAAGTTGAGGGACTAAAATAAAGTTTTAAATTCATATGTTTTAAATGGATCAAATATTCAATTTTTATAGAGTGATCAAAAGTATATCAATATTGGGCTCATTTTGTAGCTCGTAATTAATCACATAAATTGGGCTCGAGAAAAACTTATTTTGAATAAGTAAAACCCAAATTATTTCAGCTCAAGAAAGTACGATTAATGTATTATTTTATTTTATAAAAAGGTATTTAGAAAAAGGAAATAATATGAAACATCACTTTTTATGGTTGCTGTGCATGCACGTGTATTTCCATATATTTGCAAGATAAAATTTTTAGCCATGTTTATCTTAAATTGAAGAAAATATTTTAGTCATATCCAAGTCGTCTTCTTCCAACTGGTCACCTGTCACACGTGTATGAATATACTTTTTGCAAATAATATTATATTATACAAATTCTATTACACGTGTTCTACTATAATTGATTTATTCAAAATTCATTATTATGAAATTAGAATAAACATGATTTTATCAGAGTTATATTATGACTCAACTACTGTATTTTTTCCTATAAATAGTGTGCCCCTATTTCACAATTCAG